GCAGGTCGTTGGAGAGTTTAAGTAAGGCAGTTTCGGTGGAGTGTAGGGGACAGAAGCCGGACTGTAGGGGATCGAGGAGGTTGTTGTCATTGAGGTGGGCGCTTAGGCGATTGTAGAGTAAGCACTCGAGGAGTTTGGATGTAAATGGCAGCAGGGAGATGGGTCTAAGGTTGTTTGGGTCACTGGGGTCCTGTGAGGGCTTTTTAAGTATGGGAGTGATGTGTGTGTGCTTCAGAGGGGAGGGGAATGTGCCAGAAGAGAGGGAGAGATTAAAGATGTACACATTGTATACATTGTACAAGTGTGCTGTGTCACAAGCAGGTTTAGGGCACAACCCCAATTAAATTATGCTTTGTTAATGTTTTGCTTTAAAGATTATTAAAAGACCCACCACTGATATGTTAAAATATTTTAATATTACACATCCCCCAGGGCAGTGCCCATCCCCCTATACTATGTTTTTGACAATCCCTATTAGCCAGAAGTGACTTAACTGAGATTCAACTATTATTGGTGATTGAGAAGAAGTGAGTGGAGTTGACTGATTTGTCACCATCATCAAGTTTCAGGATGCAGGGCAGCATAATCAGCTCCAGTGGTGTACCCTGTCCTGCATCCTTCCTGGGCCATCATCAAAGTTAACATGTAGGCCTTGAAGGAGATATAAGGTCCCTCCCCATTATTGCTGGACCACATGTTTGTGGTCATGCAGACCCTGACATTGACTATATGGTCCAGTAACATGGAAACATTAACTTCTACATAATGATAGAGAGCAGAGATGGCCTTATGGGAAAAAATGGCAGCCCTGGTATAGCTTAGGGTGCAAAGCCACCAGCTTTGCAGCAGCCATATAGCCAGTCATTTTTCTTAGATTTGTCCTGGATGCTGGACATGGCAGTGATTGGGCACATACAACATATTGCCTACTATATAAAGTATTAGGCCAGCCCTCCAAATCATGTGATTCAGGTGTTCCAATCCCCTCCATGGACACAGGTGTATACAATCAAGCCCCTAGGCACGCAGACGGCTTCTACAAACATTGGTGAAAAGAATGGGTTGCTCTCAGGAGCTCAGTGACTCCAAGCATGGTCTGGTGTTAGGTGGCCACCTGGGCAATAAGTCCATCCGTGACATTTCCTGGCTACTAAATATTCCACGCTCAACTGTTAGTGGGATTATAACAAAGTGGAAGCAACTGGGAACAACAGCCACTCAGCCACCAAGTGGTAGGCCACGTCACATGACAGGGCCAGCTCATGCTGAAGCGCACAGTGCGCAGAAGTCACCAACTGTCTGCAGAGTCAATAGCTAAAGACCTCCAAACTTGGTGTGGCCTTCAGATGAGCACAACAACAGTGCGTAGAGAGCGTCATGGAATGGGTTTCCATGGCCGAGCAGCTGCATCCAAGCCTTCAATCACCAAGTGCAATGCAAAGCGTCAGATGCCGTGGTGTAAAGCATGCTGCCACTGGACTCTAGAGCAGTGGAGACGTGTTCTCTTGAGTGACCAATCACGCTTCTCTGGCAATCCGATGGATGTGTCTGGGTTTGGCAGTTGCCAGGACAACGGTACTTGCCTGACTGCATTGTGCCAAGTGTTAAGTTTGGTGGAGGGGGGATTAGGGTGTGGGTTTTTTTTTTTCAGGGGTTGGGTTTGGCCCCCTAGTTCCAGTGAAGGGAACTCTTAAGGCGACATTTTGGACAATTTCATGCTCCCACCTTTGTGGGAAGAATTTGGGGATGGCCCCTTCCTGTTTCAACATGACTGCGCACCAGTGCACAAAGCAAGGTCCATAAAGACATGGAGGAGCTAGTTTGGGGTGGAGGAACCTGACTGACCTGCACAGAGTCCTGACCTCAACCCAATAGAACACTTTTGGGATGGATTAGAGTGGAGACTGCGAGCCAGGCCTCCTCCCCCGACATCAGTGCCTGACCTGACAAATGTGCTTCTGGAAGAATGGTCCAACCTTCCCATAGACACCCTCCTAAACCTTGTGGACGGCCTTCCCAGAAGAGTTGAAGCTGTTATAGCTGCAAAGGGCGGGGCCAACTCAATATTGAACCCTACGGACTAAGACTGGGAGGTCATTAAAGGTCATGTGCGTGGAAAGGGCGGGGCCAACTCAATATTGAACCCTACGGACTAAGACTGGGAGGCCATTAAAGTTTGGTGCATGGAAAAGCAGGCAGCCCAATACTTTTGGCAATATAGTGTATTTTACCTTACTTTCTGGCAGTTGGGGAAGAGACCCCTGTCTGCTAAATGATACAGTTGGAGAGGATCTTGTATCCCACCCTTATTGCTTCTCTGCATGTCCCCATGATGACCTCCTTTTCTGCTGAATGTGCCATAAGCTAAGCTGCTGACTTTATGTCCTGCTCCCACAGAGCTTTGTGGTGAACAACCATGTGTTTTCTCATGCATGTGGTACCAAAATGACTGATATATTTACTATGTTTGGTACACTTCTGGTAGAGACTACAAAATCACAATGATGCAGGCTGCAGCGTATGTATGTCAAAAGGCCCACACAAATGAGCTATAGGGACTGGTCCTGGGTAAGTGTACCTGTTGTCTGCACTCATGGAGAAGTGCCATCCATTGGAATATGATGGCCTCTCCCTCCATTCCTCTGTGCGTTGCCCCTTGATGACATCCTTTTTTTTCAGATGTTATGCCTCTTTCTTTTTTTCTCTGAAATGTTGGTTATACACTCCACCACCTCCTCTGCATACTCCGGCTGTATACCATGCCTACTGGTAAGGATGAGCCAAACGTACCTGAGTTTGGTTTGAGGTGGGATTTGCAAACATTACTAAAGTTCAGGAATTAAATATGAATCCCACTGAAGTCAATTAGAGCTGTATGATGAAACAGCAAAGGTAATTTTCTAGGCTAATAGGCAAGGTATTGTCAAACAAATGGCACGGGGGTTGCGCACTGCCCTGGGGAACACATTTAATTTCCATTTGGCAATACTAAATGTCTTTAAATACCATGCTTGGGGATGCTGCTAAGCTGCACGGGAAGTGGGGTATCTGTACAATGTATATAGTGTAACCCTATGGTGCGCTAAGCACTTTGCATGTTGCCATCTCCTTGCTATGGGCCCCAGTGCATTACTTTGCCTAGGGGCCCATGAGGCTACTAAAGTGTTACTAAACCCAGGACTGTGCATTCACTCACATCCAGCCTCCCACACAACATGGAAATGCAATTATTTTAGTAAATATAAACTGCTAAATAGCTTTTCTCATCAGCAGTATATAGAAGTCTTGTGACTTCTATGAGTGTGTGGCTGAGCACTGGTTAATCTCATAGGAGGAGCTGTCATTCTCCTCTGACTGTCCTATGAGGCTGCCTGACCCCTGATCCTCTGTCTTGAAAGTGCTGATTGGCCCTGTGCTGATCACATGCACTCTTTGAAAGAGAAACAAAACTCTTTAGCAATACACAGACAACTGAGCATGTGCAGAGTAACTCCTAGAGCTCTTTACTATTAGCAGATGGATTAGGGACAGTAGAAGAAGGGGACAATCAGAGAAGACAGGATCAAACAACCTTTTTTTTTTACAGAATGCAGAGGATTAACACCTTAGGTTCAACAGTGAGTTATAACCAGCATGCTTTACTGCATCCACAGAGTGATTGTACTGTTGTGGGTTTAACACTTTAAGACAGCTCTATGTGCTGGCATGGAGAAGGGAAAAGTTTCTCTCTGGCTGGCTCAACAATAAGAGAAGTTTGAATGCATTTGCATGTGTCTGTGTGTATATACAGTAAATATATATATATATACGCATACATGCACACACATGCATGCTTGAGCTTTGGGTTGCCCACCCCAATGCATTAGGCTGCACACACCTATGTAGCAGAGGAAGGAGGCAGCAGACAGAAATTATACTTATTACTCTGGATTGAGACCAGAACACACTATAGAGGGAAACAAGGGGCAGCTTTGCTGTGTTACCAACAAGTTCACACTACTGAGCACCATTTTTTTTTCCAAAGCTATCATATCCCCCCAAAACTGTGTCTTCTGAAGTCCTCATAGCTGAGCTCCTCCATGCCTCTTATCAGTTTAGTTGCCCTTCTCTGTACTTTCTCCAGTTCCCCAAAGTTCTTTTTGTGAATTGGTGCCAAAACTGAACTGCATATTCCAGATGAGGTATTACTAATGATTTGTACCCGGGGGGAGGTAAAATGATATCTCTTTCTCTGGAGTCTATACCTCTCCTAATACAAGAGAGGATTTTGCTCGCTTTAGAACTCGCAGCTTGGCATTGCTGCCATTATTAAGCTTGTGATCTACCAGAAACCCCCAGATCCTTCTCCACCATTGACCCCCCAGTTGTACCCCCCTAGTATGTATGATGCATGCATATTCTTAGCCCCCAAGTGCAGAACCTTACATTTATCAACATTAGCCCTCATTGGCCCCATAGTCCCCCAATTACACAGAGCATTGAGGTCGACTTGTAAGTTGGAGACATTCTGTGAGGACGTTATTCCCCGGCACAGCTTGGTGTCATCTGCAAACACTTAAATCCCCGACCCCCATATCGTTTATAAATATATTAGACAGTAACGGTCCCAACACTAAACCTTGGGGTCCCCCACTAATAACACTGAACCTTGGGGGACCCCACTAATAACACTGAACCTTGGGGTACCCCACTAATCACACTGAACCTTGGGGTACCCCACTAATAACACTGAACCTTGGGTACCCCACTAATAACACTGAACCCTGGGGTACCCCACTAATAACACTGAACCTTGGGGTACCCCACTAATAACACTGAACCTTGGAGTACACCACTGACACCCCCAGACCATTCAGAGTATAAATCATTAACCACTACTCTTTGAATCCGATCTTTTAGCCAGTTTTCTATCCATTTACATACAGATTTTTCCAGCCCATAGACTTTACCTTACACATTAGCCGTGTGTGGGGAACTGTGCGAAACGCTTTTGCAAAATCCAAGTATACCACGTCCACCGCCACCCCTCTGTCCAAGTATACCTTGTCCACCGCCACCCCTTTGTCCAAGTATACCATGTCCACCGCCACCTCTCTGTCCAAGTATACTACGTCCACCGCCACCCCTCTATCCAAGTATACCACGTCCATCGCCACCCCTTGGCCAAGTATACCACGTCCACCGCCACCCCTCTCTCCAAGTATACCACATCCACAGCCACCTCTCTGTCCAAGTATATCATGTCCAGCCACCCCTCTGTCCATGTATACCACGTCCATCCCTCTGTCCAAGTATACCACGTCCACCCCTCTGTCCAAGTATGCCACATCCACAGCCACCCCTCTGTCTAAGTACACCACATCCACAGCCACCCCTCTGCCCAAGTATACCATGTCCATATACCATGTCCACTGCAACCCCTCTGTCCAAGTATACCACATCCACCCCTCTCTCCTAGTATACCACGTCCACCCCTCTGCCCAAGTATGCCACATCCACAGCCACCCCTCTGTCTAAGTATACCACATCCACAGCCACCTCTCTGCCCAAGTATACCATGTCCATATACAGTTGCAAGAAAAAGTATGTGAACCCCTTGGGATTTTGGGCTTTTGGAGATACTTTTGTAACCCTTTCCAGCTTCATGCAAGTCAACAATTCTTGATGGTAGGTCTTCTGAGAGCTCTTTTCTGTGAGGCATGGTTCACATTAGACAGTGCTTCTTGAAACCAGTAAACCCAAAACAGGTGTGTGTTTTTTAAGGGCAGGACAGCTGTCAGCAACACATCCAATATCATCACACTGATTGGAGTCAAGGTTGGCTCACTCCTGGCTCCAATTAGCTCTAGGAGAAGTCATTAAGCTAGGGCCTCACATACTTTTTCCTCCCTGCACTGTGAATGTTTACATGTTATGTGCAATTAAACCATGGCAACATCTAATGTTTGTGTAGTATTATGTTCAGCAGACTGTGTTCTCTCTATTGTTGTGACTTAAATGACGTTCAGAGCACATTTTATGCCCAATTCATGCAAAACTCCACGTAATCCCAAGGGGTTCACATACTTTTTATTGCAACTGTACTATGTCCACCGCCACTCCTCTGTCCAAGTATAACATGTCCACAGCTACCTCTCTGTCCAAGTATACCACATCCACAGCCACCTCTCTGTCCAAGTATATCATGTCCAGCCACCTCTCTGTCCAAGTATATCATGTCCAGCCACCCCTCTGTCCATGTATACCACATCCACGTCCACCCCTCTGTCCAAGTATATCACGTCAACCCCTCTGTCCAAGTATACCACATCCACAGCCACCCCTCTGCCCAAGTATACCATGTCCATATACCATGTCTACCGCCACCCCTCTGTCCAAGTATACCATATCCAAAGCCACCTCTCTGTCCAAGTATACCATGTCCATATACTATGTCCACCGCCACTCCTCTGTCCAAGTATACTATGTCCAAAGCCACCTCTCTGTCCAAGTATACCACGTCCACCCCTCTGTCCAAGTATGCCACATGCACAACCACCCCTCTGTCTAAGTATACCACATCCACAACCACCTCTCTGTCCAAGTATATCATGTCCAGCCACCCCTCTGTCCAAGTATACTATGTCCATTGCCACCCCTCTGTCCAAGTAAGCCACGTCCACTGCCACCCCTCTGTCCAAGTATGCCACATCCACCGCTACCCCTCTGTCCAAGTATACCACGTCCACCACCACCCCTCTGTCCAAGTATGCCACGTCCACCGCCACCCCTCTGTCCAAGTATACCACATCCACAGTCACCCCTCAGTCCAAGTATACCACGCCCACCCCTCTGTCCAAATATACCACAGCCACCCCTCTTTCCAAGGTCTTGCTCACCTCCTCATAAAAAGAAATCAGATTTGGTGGACAACTTCTGTCTTTCATGAATCCATGCTGTCTGTTGCTTAAAATATTTGTTTCCAGCAAGAACTCATCTCTGTGGTCCTTTATTAAACTCTCCAGTATCTTCCCAACTATAGAAGTTACACTAACAGGTCTATAATTACTTGGGAAAGATTTTGACGCCTTTTGTAAATATTGGCCCCACATTGGCCTTACACCAATCCAGCGGTACTATGCCAGTCATTAAAGAGTCCCTAAAAATGAGAAACAATGGCTGTGAGATGACAGAGCTCAATTCTTTAACCACTTAAGGACCGTTTGTTGTTTAAATTTTTTTTTTCCAGCAAGAACTCGTCTATGTCATCTTTCATTAACCACATCCTTACCCTGCTGTAGCCAAATGACGGCTACAGCATGGTTGCCCAGTTCTGGGAGGGTGTCATATGACATTCTCCCAGAACGCACCCTTCTGCATGCCCCCAGCGGCACGCACCTGTTGATCTCCATGATTGCTGTGTCCTATGGACACAGCTGATCACATGATGAGGTAACAGGCCAATCACAGATAACTGTTAAGTAGCAGAGGGGTTTGTTAATCAGTTTCAGCTGCTTTGGAGTTAATGAAATTAACAACATGTGCATTGGATGGGCAACAATGAGATGACCCCAAAAACAGGAATGGTTTTACAGGTGGAGGCCACTGACTTTTTTTCCCTACTCATCTTTTCTGACTGTTTTTCACTAGTTTTGCATTTGGCTCGGGTCAGTGTCACTACTGGTAGCATGAGGCCATACCTGGACCCTACAGAGGTTGCACCACAGGCAGTCCAACTCCTCCAGGATGGCATATCAATACGTGCCATTGAAAAGCAGTTATTCTAGGAGTGCTGGACAGGGCCGTAGAAGGTCCTTAACCCATCAGCAGGACCGGTATCTGCTCCTTTGTGCAAGAAGGAACAGGATGAGCCCTGCCAGAGCCCTACAAAATGACCTCCAGCAGGCTACTGGTGTGAATGTCTCTGACCAAACAATCAGAAACAGACTTCATGAGGGTGGCCTGAGGGCCCGACGTCCTCTAGTGGGCCCTGTGCTCACTGCCCTGCACCATAGGGCTGGATTGGCATTTGCCATTGAACACCAGGATTGGCAGGTCCACCACTGGCACCCTGTGCTTTTCACAGATTAGAGCAGGTTCACCCTGAGCACATGTGACAGACGTGAACGGGTCTGGAGAAGCCATGGAGAACGTTCTGCTGCCTGTAACATGGTTCAGTATGACTGTTTTGGTGGTGGGTCAGTGATGGTCTGGGGAGGCATATCCATGGAGGGACACAGAGACCTCTACAGGCTAGACAATGGCACCCTGACTGCCATTAGGTATTAGGATGAAATCCTTGGTCCTATTGTTAGAACCTACGCTGGTGCAGGGGGTCCTGGATTTCTCCTGGTGCAGTGGATCGTGGGTTTCTCCTGGTGCACAACAATGCCCAGCCTTATGTAGGGAGAGTATGCAGGCAGTTCCTGGAGGATGAAGGAATTGATACCATTGAATATCCCCCACGCTTTCTTGACCTAAATCCAATAGAACTCTTCTGGGATGTCATGTTTCGGTATATCCAATGCCACCAGGTTGTACCTCAGACTGTCCAGGAGCTCAGTGATGCTCTGGTCCAGATCTGGGAGGAAATACTCCAGGACACCATCCGTGGTCTCATTAGGAGCCTCCCCCGACGTTGTCAGGCATGCATTCAAGCACATGGGGGCCATACAAACTACTGAGGGCCATTCTGAGTTGCTGCAATGACATATCACCAACATGGACTCGCCTGCTGCATAATTTTTTCACTTTGATTTTCGGGGTGTCTTTGAATTCAGTCCTCTGTAGGTCGATCATTTTCATTTCCATCAAACGATGGGGCGTCATTACATTCCTCACCCATCACCCAGTCCATGTCAGTATAGAGATCCAGCTGGAGATTCCTCCCCATTGAGATCTGATGGGTTTTCAAAGTGTTCCTTTCATTATTTTGAGCCGTGTATATGGAACATATATTGAGGATATTCCAATATGTGTTCTTTTTAACCCATTCTTAGCTGTCACTGCAGAAGGCAGCTGTCTGTTTTGTGTGTGAAAGGGTGAATATTGTTAGTGTATGCAATCTACTTCCTTCTTCATGTTGGAGGTATATTTGGATTAGTTGATGTCTGTAAAATGTATGAGCTATGATTATTACAATATATTTGCTTCATTTTGTATTGGTGAAAATAAAAAAAAAAACATAATTTGACTTTTGTACTTTCAATGTCCCCCTTCAAGCCACCTGAAAAAAACCTCTCCCATCTGAACAAGATTTTTTAAATTATTTTTTTGAGTTGGTGCCTGGCCCTCAAGACCTCTGCCCAGCTCCCTATGCCATTTGCTTTACAATCCCCAGACTGGTAAGCTAGAAAATAGGCATTACTGATTTCTAAAATTTGACTTCAGTTGGTTTCATTGGGGTTCAGGTTCCGAGCTTTGACAACTTTGACAACATTTGCAGAACTTATGTTGAGCAGGGCCTGGGTACATTGCACTCATCCCTGGTCATAACTAGTGAAAGATTACACACATACATGCATCTTTCCACTGCTATGGGGAAAATTCCTTGCCCACATCTCTTCACATTGAACAATAGTTGAAGTTCTGGAAAATATTTTCTCCCTTTAATTGTCTATTTGACAATTAGTTAAAGGGTCAAAGTATCTGGTAAGCCTCCAATTTTTCATTACAGTGGTGCAATATTTATTTTGGTGGTTATATTGGAATGAACATTTTCAGCTATTCATCATGAAACAAGGGGACTGTTCTATATACCATATAGGGAATGTTCTATATACCCTAGAGGGACTGTTCTATGTACCCTAGAGGGACCGTTCTATATACCCTATAGGGAATGTTCTATATACCCTATAGGGAATGTTCTATATACCCTATAGGGAATGTTCTATATACCCTATAGGGAATGTTCTATACACCCTATAGGGAATGTTCTATATACCCTAGAGGGACTGTTCTATGTACCCTAGAGGGACTGTTCTATATACCCTATAGGGACTGTTCTATGTACCCTAGAGGGACCGTTCTATATACCCTAGAGGGACTGTTCTATGTACCCTAGAGGGACCGTTCTATATACCCTATAGGGACTGTTCTATGTACCCTATAGGGACTGTTCTATATACCCTATAGGGAATGTTCTATATACCCTAGAGGGACTGTTCTATATACCCTAGAGGGACTGTTCTATATACCCTAGAGGGACCGTTCTATATACCCTATAGGGAATGTTCTATATACCCTAGAGGGACCGTTCTATATACCCTATAGGGAATGTTCTATATACCCTAGAGGGACCGTTCTATATACCCTATAGGGAATGTTCTATATACCCTAGAGGGACTGTTCTATGTACCCTAGAGGGACTGTTCTATATACCCTATAGGGACCGTTCTATATACCCTAGAGGGACTGTTCTATGTACCCTAGAGGGACCGTTCTATGTACCCTATAGGGAATGTTCTATATACCCTAGAGGGACTGTTCTATGTACCCTAGAGGGACTGTTCTATATACCCTATAGGGAATGTTCTATATACCCTAGAGGGACTGTTCTATGTACCCTATAGGGAATGTTCTATATACCCTAGAGGGACTGTTCTATGTACCCTAGAGGGACTGTTCTATATACCCTATAGGGAATGTTCTATATACCCTAGAGGGACTGTTCTATGTACCCTAGAGGGACCGTTCTATGTACCCTATAGGGAATGTTCTATATACCCTAGAGGGACCGTTCTATATACCCTATAGGGACTGTTCTATATACCCTAGAGGGACCGTTCTATATACCCTATAGGGACCGTTCTATATACCCTATAGGGACTGTTCTATATACCCTATAGGGACTGTTCTATATATCCTATAGGGAATGTTCTATATACCCTATAGGGACTGTTCTATATATCCTATAGGGAATGTTCTATATACCCTAGAGGGACCGTTCTATATACCCTATAGGGACTGTTCTATATACCCTATAGGGACTTTTCTATATACCCTAGAGGGACCGTTCTATATACCCTATAGGGAATGTTCTATATACCCTAGAGGGAATGTTCTATATACCCTATAGGGACTGTTCTATATACCCTAGAGGGACCGTTCTATATACCCTATAGGGACTGTTCTATATACCCTAGAGGGACCGTTCTATATACCCTATAGGGACTGTTCTATATACCCTATAGGGAATGTTCTATATATCCTATAGGGACTGTTCTATATACCCTATAGGGAATATTCTATATACCCTAGAGGGACTGTTCTATATACCCTATAGGGACTGTTCTATATAC